CTATTTTAAAAGATTTCAAAATTCATAATTGATTTTTCCCCAAAATACTGAGAATGATAATTGTCTAACATTTGGAAGCAATTTATTCTTTTGAAAACAATATTTAACTTTCAATCTCTTTGAAGTTAAAAACCTTTCAAAAATTTTTTTAATGTCCTTGTTCCATCACAATTAAATATGTCCTCGAAAAAAAAAATCGAGGTCGATATCAATAATATTGAAAATATTATTTCTTATCGATATTGATTCTTAGCTATGTAATTGTTTAATTTTCTAGAAGAGGTGTAACGTATAAATACAACACTAAATGTAAATTCGTTCATTAAAATCAAAAAATGATGGAAGGAACGATGGTAAAACGTATTTGTTATTCACTTATTGAAATGATATTCGAAAAAACGTAATATTCAAGAAACGATATACTGAAATGTCGAGTTGAAGGTTACAACAATGACCATGACTACGCTTACGTCTCCGTGTATGGTTAAAAAGTCCATCACATTTACATTGTTACTTTGTGGACTGGAAAGATTATAAAAGATTCTAAACTATTGATAGGTTTATCCTAAGTGGATTTTGCATAGAGGGAGACGTTGTTTCAACATCAAAGATTTTAACACTATCGTCCTTTTTTCCTATAAGGGTATTCCTTTTTATTCTATCTTTAGCATTCAATTTAATAATCTTTGGTTATTGCACTTATATTGTTGAATATAAGTACGATTTGGTTGTTGAAATACACGAGATTGCGAGTGCATTTGTATGGTCAACGTTACCAATATTCACCAACATAACTTTCTTAACTCCTTTATTATATGGGTAAAACATTTTCCATAGATTGTATATTGATAACTTCAATTGAATAAGTGAAATTAATAAATTTAAATTAATAAATTAATAAGTAATTGATAACATTGACTCTAAAGCTTTAATACTGTTAATTATTTCCATATACTAGTATGTTATTGTAACAAACAATATAGTAAAATAAAATTTCAAGCTGGAAATCAATTACTTTAGAAAGATAAACAAGCTGTATATCCGCTTTTGGAAATATCTACCAGATACGAAACTAGAGTTTCGTATGATCATCGACCAGCATGTTATCAATTATTGGCGGACACCCAAAGCATACCAAAGGACTAAAAGGTTTTTTTTTCTGTAAGAAAGGACATCTACGACATATCTGTTGCTTATATAAATCACTTCTAAAATAAGAACAGAAAAACAATCATAAAAAGATATTTTTATTTTCATTGCAATGGAAAAAATCAGTCTCCTTACCAAAACTATATATATAGATAGTTGTGAGTTGGACTCTTCAACGTCAAATCACGAGAATAATAATTCGCGAATTGACGGTTGGCAGGGAGATTCTACATAGATTTCAGCACCATAAAAAATAAAGGCGAGTAATTTTATTTCGCGTGTGGTGCAAATTATGCAATAATTAATTGCACGCGTATGTTCAAGAAACTAAAGTGTAGTAATTAACATGGAATGCCTCCCAATCTTTATTTTAATTTTTAAAATTTTTATTTACAATTTTATTCGAAATAGAAATATACCGAATTCTTGTCTTAAATTTTAATCAAAGTTGATACCAAGCATCCTTGGGTAAACGGAAGTTTAAATTACGCAAGTGAGTTAAGGCTACATAAGTCTGGAGGTTTCTATGCAAAATTTCTAATTAAATTCCAGAATTGCTCTACTTAACGCACAAAGAATGGTAAGACTTGTTTTCTAATACATTCTTGGAACCCACAGCATGCGACAGCTAGTACACATTATGATGTCATATTACGACCTCTTCAAAACAAGTCTGTGAGAACCATCAACAAAATTGCTTCGGCGCAAGGACAAACCTTACTTTGTTTTTACAGAAACTAAGTTTTAAAAGACACAGGATATTCCAAGGATTTAAGATATTGCTGCACAAATACTGGCATTGCAATTGTTTAGTTACTATTCGTACAGTTATCATAACAAAAATTGCAGAAAAAATAAAAATGTAACATATTTAATGGATTTGCACTATTTGGCTTAGAGCGATAACAGATGCGAGCTCTGAAGATAAAAACAAACATAGATGCTAGCCACTAGAATGACCTTTTATCCTGATCGATTCCCAGAATCGGGCTCTAAAGATAATAGTAATTAAAGATGCTGACCACTAGGAGTTGAACTTTAACCCGGACGGTTACAAGAAATGGATCATTGGAATGCAGTTTTTTTCTTGTTTATGAAAATATTATTCAAAGCTAATTCACTCTGAATTAGCTGCTTTTATCGAAGAAAGTGCATAATTGCTTTACCTAAATCTCATTACTTATTTCTAGTGATTATTGTTCTTGTCAAATATTTAGTTGATTATTCCCCCTTTTAATAAAAACACCTGAGGGCGCTTTGGTTGCAACTTCCTTTTTCAATATTCCAGCATCATCTTGGGTCGGTAAAAATTTTCCAGCTTGTTATTGTGTATTATAAATTTAAAACACCCACCCACCTCACCCATTTAGAATAGATACTGTTTTTCTGGTTCTTTTTAATGCTTTCAGACAAAGACTTTTAGTGAATATCAAGCTCAACATGACAGGACTTGCGAGATGAAACAAGGACATTAGGGAACAGCCAAGGGGATTGAACCACAAGTATCTCTATGGACTCGCAGCATTCTGGACTTTGAAGACATTTAATGTGAAAGTGATGTGAGGAACAACCATTTATTTGGAAGTGATTCATTCCAAGAGCAAGTCATGCACCATTTCCAGGAGCTGATAACTTTCCTCTAACCACAAACATTAAACAATAATGTGGATTAATAGAATCTGGTACGGCTGTCCGTTTCTTTCCAGCTGAAATGTGCGTAAACGAGCGGCACTAAGTAACTATCCTTATATGCAGTCATGTAACTCATGAAAGTTTAAAAGTAAACTTTGGATTTAGATATACATAAATAAGTGCTTGACCTCTGCACCTCCCAGGGTCAAGGCTTTTACCACTTTCTCATATGGTGTTTGTGAACTTTGACCTTTGAACTTTGAACCTGAGTTTGAATATTTAATATGTAATATTTGCTTTGTTGTGTTGCCAGAGACACCAATAGCTTTTCATAATTTGTGTCTCTGGATAAATAGCCGTGCCCAATTATCGCCACAATAAAATTTATTAAATTCATACTTGATGTTTTTATATGCACTTATCTGAGATAAATATTTGGTAAGGATGAAGGAGCGACCAATAACAATTTATTTTAGGCTACCAGAAATCAGTTGTTCGCATAAATTAAATACACTAAGTGAAATTAAAAGATTTTGCAAAAGATAGAAAGAAATTTTTTAAATGCATTAGTAAACTAAGACGGACATACGCCAGACAAGAATTAAATTTTGTCTTTCTCTGCTTCATTTTACATGTTTTATACAAGTAAGATTATTTGGTTGAATTGCGCGTTTTTGTAAAATTATTAAGTTTTCATATGGTTTATTTTATTTAAAGGTTTAAATAGTTTATATTGTAATATTTATTATAATCTTTATTATAAGGTTAAGTATTGTGTGTAAAATTATTTATTGTAATCATAAAATGAACGGATTGTTTCTTTAAATAAAAGACAAGAGCTGGATTGTGTCTGTCTCTGCTTCATTTTATACATGTTGGGAACTAGAGCCTGTGAGCCGCTCTGGTCAGGAAAGGTCCTCGGGTTAAAAGAAATTGCATATTTAAACATCAAGGAAGGATATTATAAAATTCAAAAGCTGAATTGATTTGTTCCGACCCAGCTCAAGGATTATAAGAGTTATTCCACTTGGTGTGTCCTCTCACTGAAATAATCAAGATCCCGGTTGTAAATGAACAAACTCATGATCGGCCCAATGTCATTCGGGACTCTGCCTCCTCAAACTTTGATAGTTGAGGTGTAACAAACAGGCATCATAGGCTGGAGTCCAGAATAAGGTTGACCTGGTTATGATACAGTTTTAAGTTTAAACAGGTTTAAAATTCACAGTCTATTGTGAGTTTTCTATATTTTTATTGATTGAGAAATTGCATAGGATTTTTGCAGCAATTTTTATTAATATTAATAATATTTTCCTTATTATTATACATTATTTATATCAAATTAAATAGGATATGCCCTTGTGCCGACGTTATTTTGTTGATGTGTTTTATTACATTGAATGGGAGAGAACAATGACGTCATAACGTGCATTTGCATTAATATACTGACGGAACTAAGTGTATATAAGAAAATCAATTTGAACTTTCTTGGTACATAAAATATACAACTTATGAGTTATTATTATCTCATTTGCATTGAAAGTCAATATTTAGCCTTAACTCACTTGAGTATTTAGGAAAGGACCAAACCATTTCAAAGGAGGAGATTATCAAAAAAAGACAAAAATAGAGTTAGGTAAAATATTTCTCCGGAGAACCACTAGGTCAAGCATACTTAATGGTGAAGTATTTCGGGGTATTGCTGATATTGAATTGAAAAAATCATGTTCCCCGTGGGTGAGACAAAAGAGTAAAAATTAAAATTTTGCATTCAAATATTTAAGAAAACTCCTAAATCTCAAGAACCACATGGCCAGAAAAGCTCACACTAATGTGGAAACATTCTAGGATAATCTTGATTTTAATTGCTTAAATCATTAACCCAGGGGCTGTTGGTACTTTAATAAAAATTCAAGTTGTAAATCCAAATATATCGCAAAATTGAGAAACATGTGAAAGCATCTTGTGGCAGTGTAGTTTCTAAATTGTTAGTTTATATTATAGCCCTTTTATGGTAGGGTGGGATCACAATAGGAAATCGAAGTTTAACATTTCCAAATAGTATTTAAAAATCCTGAAATTTCTTTTTATAAAAAATCAGTTGGCGAGAACAGATGAAACTTATATGAAAGCATCTTTGTGCAGTTTATATTCTATATTGTTTAAATCATGTCCCCTGGATAGGTTGGAGCCACAAAATTTTAATTACAAGGCGGAGGAACTCTGATTGAGAAAAACAGGGCAAAAGTTACTCATAAGAGCATCGTGGCCTAAGGACGTCTACATCTGTTAATCGTCTTCTATTGCATGTATTTCCTTTAATGGTGTATCTTCCTCCTTACGAACAAAACCTTCTTTTCTAAAACAAAAGAAAACAAATTATTCAGTATCAATTAATTAGTTTTTTTCCATAATAATAATTAAACACTTAACTCATGACCCATTTTTTAAAAAAGATTTCCTCATGAGAGCCAATATTAATGCTTTGATATTAATTGTATATATTTTAATTTGAATTCTTTACGATTTCAGTTGTTGAATTAATAACATATTTGAACATATTTGAAGATTATCATTTGTTCTTCGTATGAACTTTAAAGGAATCAGAATCTTCAACAAATCAAGCAATTTCAGAAAGATCTCTTTTTGCAAGAATGTAAACTTTCAAGGAATAGTAGTGTATTCACTTATCATGCTACTTAAAAATATGATACATTTTGTGCCATAAGTTTATCTGCAAGTGACTAGGCTTTTAATATTGTAAAAATATTATTTCAATTCTTTTATCAAATAGATAATGCATTTATGTCATCCTATAACATACTGGTATGGTAAATATATCTTGTTTTCAGTAATTAAGGACAGATGACACAAACAAATTTTTTCTTTGAAAAAGATTTAATATTATGTCACAAGTTTAGAAATGTGAATGATTCTTAGAATTTTTTCTCCTAAGAACTGGAAAATGAAAAAGACTTGGAAAATATTAGTAATATTTCAATGAAAAAACAAATATAGACAAATCACATTCAGTAAAGGTTTACAGGTGAAAACAAATTTCAGAATATGTTACATGTAACATTTGTTTGTATCATCTGTCCTTAAAGTTTAATTTGGGATTTCTTTTTCTTTCTTTTTTTTTTTTTTTTTTTTTTTTTACATTGTTCTTGATATTTCAATAAGACCTCGTATATAAAACAACCAGGAAATGTGGCACTTCAAAGAGAAGGTTTACAATATTTTGAGTAGGTTGGTTAATTACGTTTTCATGATTATTTCCTTCGGATACCGACACAAATTATCTATCTTATATTAAGAAACGCCCACTTTTATATTTTTTTACCTTTTGTTAAGTAAGTTCTTTGACAATTCCCTTTGGGTTTTTTTACTATAGAAAGGTATATAACCTTTAGATCGGAAGGGAGACAGCTGGCTACATAAGCTACACTCTTCATATACTGGAATCGTTCCTTGTTCGTCTGTTCAATCTCCTTAAATTTTATTACTTTAAGTTAGATTAATTTGGGGCTAGATTAGACTATATTTGGTTTGGGGGAATTAGGTTTTCCCATTGTATATTACTATAATTGTAAGACTGGTAATATATTTGTAAAGTGTGTTTATCTTATTCCCTTTTCTAGTTCATTGCAATTTACCAATGTGTCAAGGGTATATTCTGATGTAGTAATATAATTCAGAAAGCCGTGCAAATCAAAAAATAATAATAACACAACGCGAAGTACAGACGAAACCAACACAAGACCTGTTACATACCATTTCCTGTTGGGGAAGCAAGTACTTCTATAAGTATGTTAATGTTTTTTTTTCTAATTATATAGCTCCTACTCCGTAAAAATAGGACTCATTTACATTTGTAAACCTAATGCATTATCTTTTTCCTTAAGAAAACAGAAAGGAAACTTTATAAAGTATAATATTAGGTTATATCAAAAATTGTACCAAGTAAATAACAAAACTAAGTTTTAACTCAATTTCAATTTAAAAATTTAATATTTTATTGTTTGAAGGAAATATAAGGAATTAATGTCAATGTATGGCAATGCATAGGAAATTCGAAATAATTTCTAATTTTTCATTTTTGTAAAATAAAATTATTTCTTGCAATGTTAATCACAATGTAAAGGTTTCATGTATTGTAAGACATCGTTTTGCAAATATTGTAAAGCTCGTAAATTATTTCAAATAATTAAATACTATGAAAATAAATAAATTCAAAAATACGAATAAAAGCCATTCCAGACAACATATCTCAAGAATTCGATCATTGCCCCATATAATGTTAATACCATGAGAATGAGGGCAACAAAAGTAACCTGAAGCTATATATAATGTAGAGTTCTTATCATTCAGATTTTTGTAATATTTGATTAAAAATCGGAAAAGAAATACAAATATGACAGAAGAAATTTGGACTGTAATAATTATCTAGTTTATGCCCAAACTCTAATTGTTTCTTTATATGAAGCAACGCTGTTCCATTGCTATAATATTTCATTATCTAAAGAGTTTTGTTGCTTGTAATATTTTTTGAGTGAACAAATAATTTGTCATTTAACACAAGAATTATAGGTGTACAATGTGCAATAGACGATTTTTCGTTCTTATCAGTGGAGTTTTTAGTTATCTGGGTAAAGGTATACCTTTAAGGGGGATCTCTACTACAAATGTATTAAATTTTGCTAGGAAAATCAATCTTTATCATTGAATGTAATAAAAGTCTGAGATGACATTTCAGCTAAAAATCAATGATTGCATCTTTTTTCGAGTACGTACGGTTTACAGTCAATGGTAATGCTAAATAAACATCCAGCACACGGACAACAGTTCTTGTACTAAAAAGGCAAAGAGGAAATAATTTCATTATTTTTAATTCGGTTTGATTTTCTAAAAATAAAAAAGATTATAAGGAAAGAAGATCGTGTGTCTCAAAAAACCTTAAACGAGTAATTTAAAGCTCATACCTTTTCAAATTGTCCTCTTTTCCCTTCACTGACTTTCCCATTTCTAAATAATAAGTAAAACGATTGTATATGTAACAAGACCAAAGGGTCACATATATAAAGGTCACCGGAGTATCATGCAACAACTTTGCAACAATTTAATTTGGTTCTTTTTTTTAAACCAAAGACCATGAAAGTCACAATTTTGAAAGAAGAACTATTGCTAATCAGCACTTAGCATACAAATTTTGATTACTTAAATAGAGGCAGATTAGAGGAACACAAAATGGATTTTTCACTGTAAAATCTGTAGAACGTCACCCAATAGGACACATTGAGCTTGGGATCAGATAATTCATAAGTTTGAACAAGGAACGTTTGCTTATCATAATTGGCTGATAAATATCAAAGAACAGACTTCAAAGCATTAATTCATTTTCAGTGTATGATCATTTAAACTCACCCCATGGAACCCCTGACTCACAGGTCATGAAATTCAATTTTTTTGGAAAAGCCATCCTACCTTATCATAACTATGTACATGGTTCATTGGTTTAATTTCCAGGTGCAGGGAAAATTTTTAAAGAATTAAAGCATTTACTATATAATCATTAGAACCTCCGCTTACACCGGAACCCCTGATCAAGGGGCATTTAAATTCAAAATTTATAAATAGGCACCCTTGCTCGAGACAATTTGTTTTAATTAGATTATAGACAAAATACTTAGGACCAGAAGAGAAGGAAGATTTTCAAAGAATTAATGTATTTTCGTGACCGCTCTTACTCAAGAATATAGCCCTGACCCGGAAGCTAGGAAATACACGTTATGGAAGAAGCACCCATCCTCATAACTACATTACATATTTCTTTAGCTTAATATTTAACAGGAGAAAAAAATGTCAAAGAATTATTGCAATTTTACCATAAAGGCCCCGTTCTAATACCCAAACACCTGATCCAGATGCCGTTAAATTTACAATTCTCTACTGAAAGAAACACCCGTCTTCATCATAACTGCGTACATATTTTATTGGCTAATTCCAATGAGCAAAGGAGGAGATTTTGTAACCAAACAATACATTTTCAGCAAATTTTCAACAGACCCCCCCCTCCTGAGCACAAGAACCCCTCATCCTGGGGCCATGGCACCTGATCCCATCTCTGATGTTTAAAGATATGTGCTTGCTCTGCTCCTTTTTTACATTGTTTAATGGGCTTTTGATCTTGAACACTGTTCGTTATCGCCATATGTTTTATTTCACAATTTCTGTAGAGCTAGGCCCTATGCTTATTATAATCAGGCCAACTGTTTGACTGCCAGACGTTCCAGAGTAAAGAAGAAAAAAATTAAAGATTGCATTCATTTAACTGATTTTGCCCAATCCCTCAAGTATCGGAAGAGGGGGCAGTGACCATGAGACTTATACATTTTACAAAATATCTTACTTTGGTTTATGATTAAAAACACCATTCAAATGTATATATAAAAACCTAAGCCGATTCATTTATCTTTTTCAAATTTTGATTCTTTATTTTTAAAATATTTTTTTACATGTTGATCTTTACATGTATAAATTTGGAATGCAAATTTAACCGGTTGATTGTTTATTTGGTTCTGAAAACTAATATTCAATTTACAAAACTATAATGGGATGACCAAAACCGTATTAATACAATGTATCTTTCATATTTTTCTTAAAACGCAATTTACATTGTAAAATAAAAACACTTGTTGATCATTTATACTTTTTCGAATATATAGCTCAGTTGAGCTTGAGGTAATTAAATAAAACTCTTTGGATTGAAATCATTTCGGTATTTAGTCCGCTATTTTAAGCTCAAGTAATAGACATGTAACAAGATGGTACGGAAAGCTATTCAGCATGGCATAGTTATTCATATTACTTATAAAAATAACTTTAAAGAATCATATCCGGTATATTCCATATTTTTGCTCCCACACAGTCATATTTTGAAAATATCTTGAAATGTGCTGAATTGTATGAATTATATGAGATATATTATTTAACATACATGCAATATATCATAGTAAATAAAAGACGATTTTTGCTTTTGTTGTCTTAAGATTACAATTCCTGAACAATTTATACAGTCGTAATAATGTATTCTCTATTTATCTAGAACGAACATTTGTAAAGGACACTAGTTGATTTTCCTGGGGTATATTCAAAATAGAACAATTTTTAAATAATGATTTAATGGACTTTCACAATATCATGAATAGAGCCCCACCCTAACAACAAAATCCTCAACCCTGGGGTCATAACATTCACAATTTCGGAAGAAGCACTATTGTTCATCATGATATAAACCTATCAAATTTATTTAATTCCAAGGATCAGAGAAGAAGATTTTTAAAGAACTTTCACTATATAATAAATAGAGTCCCGCCCTACCATCAGTACACCTGAACCTCGGGCCATCAAAATTCACCATTTTGGAAGGTATTTTTGCTCATTATAACTACTACTTAGTTCGTTTATTTAATACACAGTAGCAGAAAGATTTTAAAAGAATTTATGGACTTTCACTATATAATCAATAGAACCCTTCCCTACCACCATAATCCTGGGCCCTCGGGCCATAAAATTCACAATTTTGGAAGAGGCACTCTAATTCATCATAACTATGTATCTAGTTAGTTTATTTAATACCCAGGAGCAGAGAAGAAAACTTTCAAAGAAGTAATGCACATTCACTATACAATCTACAGTTGTGTTTATAGCCCCGCCCTAGCACTAGAACCCCTGACCCTGGTGCCATGAATTTCACAATTTGATAGAGGATTCAATAATCATTACATTAATTCCAACAGTTTGACTGCTTGAGGTCCAGGAGTAGAGAAGAAGCTTTTTAAAGATTGCATTAATTTTAGTGGTTTTGGCCTAACCCCTCAGGACTCAAGGGGACATGGGCCATAAAATTTACAAATTGTTTCCCTTCACCAATAGATGCTGTATTCCAAATTTGGTTGAAATCGGTTCAATGGTTTCAGAGAAGAAGCTGAAAATGCTTAAATGTTAACACACGACACACGATGACGAACGAAAACGGATAGCAAGAGGCTACCTGTGTGACTCAGTTGACTTAATACAATATAGTAAAATAGACATCGTATCTAATTTAATAGCTTTTTCCATAACTGCAAATGATATTTTATTTGAAACAAAAGGTATTTTTCATTGTACAAAATGTGTCTTGATCAGCCTTTCACTGTGTACAAACTGTGTCATTTCTGCGAGATAACATCACATTGACAAGTGTATTGCCATCGTTGAATAGTTTATATTTTGTTTCAACTCATTTCCTGGTAATTTTAGGACCTTATGTTTTATGTGACGTCATAATTAACATTCTCTGTATAAATTTGGCCCCACCTTTCTACTGTAATCTTAACTATGCTACTCTTCTGGTGTCAAACAACAAAGAGGCCGTCAAAGCTGTCTTATTCAGAAAAATAGAAGAGAGGAGTTTAAAAGGGCGTGAATGTGAAGGTAAAGCCAATGTGATTTGTGCTAACTAATCAAGTAGATGATCAATAAAATATTCAGTTTACTATAATAAATAGTTTTTTGGAGGTCAGCTGTGAAACTGACATTCCTCGGAACACCATTTTGTACCTCCGATGCGTCGTTGGTTTTAAATGGTTTTCTTTAGGGTGTCAGTTTCAATTGTTATACCGTACCATAATTGTTCCCAAATATTTCAATTATAAAATCCAAAATTTCTAATCTTTTGCTGAGAAGGCATAAGAAATCATCAAACGAAAACTGAGTCTAATCTATTTCAAACATTGTAAATAGAAATAGATTAGACTACGTTTTTGTTAATGATGACAAGACAAAACTCATCTTAAAAAGTATTTACGTTTCATATCTGTTTCATTGCTGTTCTAATTTTTTCTAGCAATTTGAACTTGAAATTAATAATTTATTTAAAGTGTATCGATGAAGTATCAATATTACCTACGCTTTTGTTATTTTTTAATCTTTTTGTGTATACAAATGGAGTTTCCTTGAGAAAAAAATATGTCATTAAATATGTGTTTTCATACGGTCAACTGATTCATCTTGCGAGTAGCCAATTTGCAAATCTGTAGAATAAATGTTTCTAATTTCTAATTTCTACTAAAGTATGTTTTTCTATACATACATGCATACATACATGTACATGTAAACTGTATATAACAGGGTTATTTTCGCCCCGTGTTATTTTAGTACTTCCATCCTTGCTAACAATTTTGCCACATTTTAAATTCGTCCAGTCAAAGTTCTGTTTAAGAAATTATACTTTGTTTTTTTATTTAATTCACCCATTTTTTAATTCGCCCACCTGTGAGTAGGACGAAAATTTCCCTGTATACAGTAATAGGTACAAAGTAGATAAAATATTTACAAGATGCAAAAGAAGACTATCATCATCACAATGACAATAAGAACAAATCCAAGGATTAACGAAACCAGAATTGGAAGATTCCTCCATTGTCTAAAATAACAATAATAATTAAACAATCAAATACTCTGAATACATGTATAAAAAGAGATAAATTTACCTAAACTCGTACATTTTTATCGGATGTGGGAACATAAACAACTCGAGATCATTAGAGAACAACTGTAAATGCATATTTTTACTTGCAACATACACATGTTATAAAGTCCTAATTGTTTTGTAGAACGAAAGATAAAACTTTAAAACATAAGTTTATTATACTAAAAATATATTTATTTCGTATATACGTATAGTCAAATTCTATTTGCTAAAGATTAGATGACTTTTTTGATTCTGAGTTTAAAGACAACTTGAATTTAGAGGCATAAAAAACTGAAAGTGTTACAATATTCATTATCTAAAATCAATTATCTTCACAACAACATTTAGCTTAACAATGTCATATTATTATCAAATATATGAATAACATCTACTTACTCATAGAAGTGTTGTGATGCAATCTTTGCTGATTGCATTATCGGAGTAGAGGTATCATAATTCAGCATTATGGTAGATTTTTTTCTTACTTTTTCCTTTGGTGTACTTTTATTGAAGAAGTAGGAAAAGTCATAGCATTTTCTATCTACAATACAATGACAAACATAACAAATCTTAGTTTCAAAGTATTTGCATTAATATTCTGTGTGATTTATGCGGAATTATATCTTCTAAAAAAATACGCTGATTTATTTTTACAATTTCTTCCTATAATGAAGGCAAACACTGTTTATACAACCCAAACAACCTTTCCACTGTCATTCATAACAAGAAAGTTGCAAAAATTAAACATATCGCTGCAGACTTTCAAACAATCTTTTTATGCCCCCCGTAAACGAAGTTTCGGGGGTATATAGTTTTTGTCGTGTCCGTCTGTCTGTCTCTCTGTTTGTCTGTTTGTCCGCAAAAACTTTAACCTTGTCCATAACTTTTGATTTAGTGGAGCTATGACTTTCATATTTCACATGTGTATTCCTTGTGACAAGACCTTTCTTTGGGTACCACCAAATTTGACCTTTTGACCTTGACCTTGGAGTTTGACCTACTTTTACATGAAAATTTTAAAATTTTACTTTGGCCATATCTTTTGAACAGTAGACACCAGGACATTTATACTTCACATATGTAATGTTTGTTGAAAGACCTTTTACTAGATACCAACAACCTTGACCCCTTTGACCTTGACCTTGTAGACTTCCTTACTTGTGAAAAAACTTTAACCCTGGCCATAACTTTTGAACTGTAAGAGATAGGGCTTTCACACTTCATATGCGTAATCCTTGTGAGAAGACCTTTATTGGATACTTAGAATTTTGACCCTTTGACCTTGACCTTTGATACTGTCTTACTTTAAAAAAATGCAAACATTGACCGTAACTTTTAAATAGTTAGGGCTATTGCTTTCAAACTTTAAATATTTAACTCTTGTGACAAGACCTTTTATTTGATAACAAGAACTTTGACCCTATGACCTTGACCTTGGAGTTTGACCTACATTTTAAAAAAATTAGCCTTGGCCATAACTTCTGAACGGTAAGGGCTAGGGCTTCCATGCTCTCCATAAGTATTCTATCTTGCAAGAGCTTTCATTTGATACCAGTTACGTTGACCTTTTGACCTTGACCTTGGAGATTTTTGTACTTATTGAACAAACTTAAACATTGGCTTTTTTTCAAATTTCACAATTGTTTTCCAGTGAGAATGCCCTATACTTTTGCTACCAATTAATTAAATTGGCATTTAAGAAAAGCTGAATCTTTACTATGTTGCCATACGGGGGCATCTGTGTTTCACAAACACATCTTGTTGTTTATCTCAAATTTTTTCATTCATCAGTTCTTGGAGAGTGTGTTAAAATTGTGTGGTTAACAACAATTAACCGATTCCTTTCCGATCCGATCTTTTGTACAAAATGCAAAAACAAAATTAATAAGGTTTCATCCAAAATATTGAATAACTATTTCTTTGGTATAAGCTATTTCTTTGCTTTTGCACCACCTTTTTAGGGTCTAGAAATGATTTTTTTTCTTTCACATATAAACTTAATTATCTCCGGAGACATTATTGAACTTTCAGTTTATTCATTATTCAAAGGATCTTTTATTCTATCTATAAACATCACATGATGATATTGTATTGGAATTATATTGGAATTCTTCCTTCTGAGATTCATAGAATTGGTAATATTAATAATAAATGTTTTATACATGACTTTCCCGAATTATCAATGATACAATTTCAAAAAAAAATCATATTAAATTTGAATTTTGATTTGTTTGCTGCCAACTTGCAATTTTTAAAAGTCCATTCAATATAGGATTAGTTTATTATTATCTTTTTAATCATTTTCATATTCCTTTATAATTAATATTACACAAATAAGCATCAGTTGAGTTATAATTATGCGGACATGCATATAGTGGTTCAATGTCTGTACAATCATGATCATAATGGTCCTGAAGTATATCTCCAACCACGTTGAATTCCAAACAAAATCCTGAAAAAAAAATAATTCCATTCAAAGAAAAGTAATTCAAGATATTTGATATATCATATATATTTTCCTTAAAAATCGTTGCATTGAATATTAAATAACTGCATGTATGACACCAAAAAAATGATAGATTAATTTCTTCTATTTAAAAATTTTGGGACAGAAAATAATTTTATTTTCAATTATTTTCAATAAATTTTAATAAAGAAACGTATCAGAATTCATCACCTTTCATTCATCAATGTGAATTAGGAAATTTAAAAAATACAAATAAAATCAGACCCTCATCCGTTCATTTGATAGATGTGATTAAAATAATTAAATTTCAGGAACGTAGTATCGTTCTTGAAAGGGGCAGGATCGGTAAAATAAAGAAAAAAGAATTATTCAAATGATGTACTCTGTTTTATGTTATGGAAGAATATCCTGATCTTTTAGTGAGATTTGTAGACACAGATAACAGAGAGACAGATTTTATGCTTTTGTTTTTATAGGAAAACAACTGACTTTTCAATCAACATTTCCAAAAGTATTATATTTTAAAATAGGTAAGCCACTCCCCCTTCCCCAACACTTATTTTCTTTCCTTAATTTATTCATTTTAGTATACTTTTCTCTAGTTGGTATATTTTAGACAAGACTGGCCTAATAGGTCAACAGTTTATCATGCAACAAGTTTTGAACAATTGAATTTGGTTCATGTTTAAACCAGAGGTCATGTTTTTTTTTTATTTGAAAGACAGCATTATTGCTAATCTAAACAATTCACTTAGCATGCTTTATTTGATAACTTTATACCCAGAGGCAGATTAGAGGAGCAAAGAACAGGAAGCCCATGGGCAACAACGCTCATGTGAATAGCTTTGGTACTGCTGCTCAACCTGATTTCACCTCTTGTTATACCTATTTTGACCCCGCCCTACAGATCATGATTTGAATAAATCAGAATCAATCTACATTCCCAATGATGCTACCACATTTGTTTTAGCTTTCTGACCCAGTTCTTCTTGTGAAGAAAGGATTAAACATTTTTCTATATATTTTAATGTAAAAATTAGATTCCCTAATGTGGCCCCATCCTATCCCCGGCGAGTAAGAAAATTTGAATACACACTACTTTAGGATGTTTCCACAAAGATCAGCTTGTCTGACCCAGTGGCTATTAAAATTTTTAAGGATTTTTCCTAAATATTTCAATGTAAAAATTGGTTTAAATTATTCAGTATTAACACTATCCCAGCCCAGGATGCTTACAACTTATAACTAAGATTTTCTGGCTCGGTTATTCTTGAAAAGAAGATTTTTCTTTTCCATATTTTTATTCTGTATGTTTCAAAGTAAAAATTACAAATCTTATTGTGGCCCTGTCCTACCCCTGGGGGTATTGATTTGCAAGATTATGAATTGGCATTACCCTAGGATGCTTTCACATAAGTTTTAGTTTTCTTGGTCCAGTGGTCCTCGAGGAGATGAGTTTTAATGATCCAATCCTATTTTTTATAATCTACCCATGGAAAGGGATGTTCTTCATTTTAACACTTTAAAGTCACCTTAGTGAGGTTACAATTGACCCAGTGATTCTTCAGAAGAAGCTCAAAATGTGAACAGTTTACGGACGGACAGACGACAGACGACATACAACGGGTGATCAGAAAAGCTCATTTGAGTTTTCATTACATGTGAGCTAAGAATGAATTTTCATCTATTCCACAGGAAGCATGAAATGGCATCTTTGTTCATAATAAATGGTTGATTAGTTCCAAATTGCATATTTCAAAGCATTAATTCATTTTCAATATATGATCATTAGAGTTTCCCCCTGTATCCCATAACCAGGGGTCATGAAAGTAATAATTTAAGAAGAGATTCCTTTTTTCATCATGGCTATGTCTTTAGATCACCGGCAAAATACCCATGATCAGAAAATTCCAATAAATAGTACATTTTCACTATGGAATTGAAGAACCCCACCTAACATCAGAAACCTTAACCAAGCGGCCTTAAAATTACAATTTTTTTAGAATCACTTTTGCTCAGCATAATTATATAATCAGATCATTGACGTATATTATCCAGAAGCAGAAGAGAAAATTTTCAAAGAATTAATGCATCTTCACTACATAATCAATAGAGCCCCGTCCAAAAACAAGAACTCTTAAACCAGGGCCATGCCATTCACAACTTTGGAAAAAAGTCATCGTTCCTTATCATAATTTTGTAGATAGTTTATCAGCCTATTGCTCAGGAGCCGAGGAGAAGATTTTCAAAGAATTACGGCATTTTCACTACTTTACCATTAGAACCCCTTAATCAGGAGCCTTGGAATTTACAATTTTAAGGACAGATGATACAAACAAAAAAATGATGCCTGGATTGGTATATATTTTTTGGCCTTATTTCATCGCAAATGATGCAAAAAATAAATTTCTAGAATATAAAGAAATTGTAAACCTTCTGTGATATTCAAAAGTCTGCCCTTATGAAGCCATCCTTATCAATCTATACAAATATTTTTCACTTTAAATTTCACTTTTGTCCAAATTTGAATAAAAAATTAAAAAGTACGCGGTGAAAGTTATTCATTTTATTCATTTAAACATGATCCAAGGTGTTATATTCAAATTCGTTGACAAAAGTTTGTTTGTATCATCTGTCCTTAAAAGGAGAACCATCTTCATGAATGTTTACATCACATCGATTATAAGTTAAATATGCAGGAGCAGAGGAGAAGATTTTTAAAAATATAAATGCATTCTTTCTGTACTGAAACGCAAAAGAAACGCAACTAGCAATAGTCTATAAATATTTGATTTTAAATGAATGCAGTTAAGGTAAAACGCGATTTTAAACACCAGAAATTTTATAAAAACGTTAAATGAATATCTATGGCACGCTAAATTCACAAAAATGAACTACATGTAAACAAAGTTACACAGTTGATAAACTAGGTTTATCTACAGTAAACTATAGGTTACAAACCGTGAACTATAGTTATAATTCGTTAACTATAGCTTTCATCTGTAAAACTTTATTTAACGGTTGTTATATAATTAACTGTAGTTTACGAATGCTAAGCTAAGTTTATTTGTCTGTAATAAAACATCAACAATAGTTTTTGTTGAGAAACATTATGGTGGCATATTTCAGCCCCCTACACGCAACATAAATTAACTAATTAAATGAGCTAAGATTTCGTGTATTTTCACTATTTAATCGCCCTAAAATCTTAACCATTGAACAAGGGGTCTTGAAATTCTCAATTTTGGAAGATACATGTATATATAAGTTATCGGTTTAATACTCATGGACAGAAGAAAATATTTTTTTAAGAATGAATGCATCGTCACTATATCATGAGTTTAGCCACGCCCTAGGACAATAACTGCTGGTAGAAGGCACAAAGCTGATTGCAACCAAACCATCAGTTTGAATGGGACCATGACACCCCTTCCCCTCTTCACCCATATATTCTATATGCCAAAATTGGTTGGACAGGATTCATTGTTTCAGTAAAGAAGCTAAAATGTTCAAATATTAATGCACTATGCAAGACGATGGGGAAAAAAAGATAGCAATAGTTCATATGAGTGACTCGGATGACTTAATTACTAGGAAAAGTACTATTCAAAATAAATTTGGCAGCATAATTTTTCAACGAGCATCCTCTAACTTATTTAAATAAGATAAGCTTGCTGAATATATTAGAAATGAAACATTTACCATTGCTTTTTATCGGTCTTGCACACACTTCAATTGATTCATTTCTGAAAGTATTGATCACACAGTGATAATGAAATTCTCTAGAAGAATTTGCTGTACAGTTTTGTTCTAGAGCGAGTCCTGAGCAGTTTTTAATTGTTGCTAACACATCTCTCTCCTTTTTATTAGATGGACAGGAATCAACGATCTTCACAGTATCACTAGACTTAATACAGGATGCATTTTTACACTGTACGTCCTTCTGTACAAAAATACAATAATACTGAAAACTGTGTAATAAGTCCTAGAATTACACTTATGATTTTATCAGCAAATCATGTTTTCCCCATATTATACATATCTTTTTCATGCTTTATATACTGTAACCTTCACCTTTAAAGTTGTATAGAGCAATTACTTTAAGAAGGTCAAAATAAAGACAGTTTTATATTGATTTTTGGAAAATAGATAAAGGTTAAACAATGTTCTCTTCCCTTTCTTGTAAATAATCATTCCCAACATTGCCCGTAGCATCTTTCTTTGAAGATAAAAATGATTATTGTCCGTAAAAAAAATCGTCTTACCAAAAAAGCCGAGACGAAAACAATGAATAATATTCTGTCAATCAGCCACTCAATCCAACTGCAGTTCCTGTAATTAAAAACGTTTAAACCTTTTTTCAATTCTGCAGAACACAAACCTTTTAAATAAATTAGATTTTTTCTGTAATATTTTAATTAAAATGATTAATTTACGGAAAATTGCCTTTTAATTTTAGATATATATTAAAAATTCGCAAATTGGATTTAAGCAGCAAAACTTGTTTGCGACCATTAAATCAGCAATAACAGACGCAAATATTAAAGAGAAAATAATATATATATTTTTTTTAAAATGTGCATAAATATTTTCTACGCATTAATTTATCCTTAATTTTAATTTTCCACGGACGCTGACTTTGAATGGAATCATTGGAATTGCCGCAATCCCTCAAATTATTTGTCAGACACTAGCCTGGGTTTAAAAACTGAAAGTATCCAGAACATCTGGAAATTTAATCAGCTAACGGACATAAACACGATATGCAGATGATGTTGGGGCATAATAACACAAAAAGTAAGTTGGCAATAGAAAAGTTGAAGTTATCCTTCATTGGGATATTCACTTGTCAGATATGATATAAATGTGGCGGACTCTGTAGTGTCTTACTGCAGGATATCTCGGTCAACATATGAACAAAAATGATTATTATTAAGAAATTACCCAATTACCGAATTACCCAATTAACCAATTACCCAATTATGTTTTCTTTTACAGTTGGTCGGTAGGTAGGTTGGATATGGAGATAACGAACAGTATTCAATCTCAAAGTCCATTAAACAATATACAAAATAAGAGCAGAGCAAACACGGACCTCTGAAACATCAGAGGTGAGATCAAGAGCATCCCCAGCCGACCGGTCACACCCGCTTTTTGCTCGTGTCATGATCAGGAAATAACGGGGAAAAAATCCGTCGCCAATCTAGTGTATAAATATTGGTATGAAAAACGTCAGTAAGCATTTGACTCAAAGATAAATTGTATTTGCTGACAAGGTCATTCTATCGACCATAGAACTTACAAAATGATGACTTTAAACGAGACTGCTGATATTCTTGTTTCATCAACTTGGTTGTCAATGATATACCCCGTTTAAGAAATTGTTCATACGTAGAGCTTGCTATTGTGTATCGAATCAACTGAGATAAATATTCTACGTGTGCAGGTGATGAAGGCATATTGCTGCATAAGTAAGGGAGGTTGACGATAGAAAAGTATAATTCATCACGTTTATCATATAGCTTGGTTGTTAGATTACACTTAGTGTTTTTTTTCAAGTAAAATATCCAAGTATGAAGCAGAAGTGTCGGACTCTGTGGTGTCTTTTATCTCAAGCTCACCAGGATATATCGTATCGATGTAGAAATGGAAATTATCATTATTTATTGACAATACGTCGTCGATATATCTAAATGTCGAGTTAAAGGCCATAGCAATTGGATTTTTTTTCTTTTCACGCATAAGATTTAGCATAAATTCTGCTTCATGTGAATATAAACATAAGTCTGCTAATAAATAACGGAGCGCAATTTGTACCCTTCACTACTGTCAATATCATAGTGAGAAGTAAAAAAAGAGTCTTGGTTGAACATTTACTGGAACTTGCAATGTATCTTCGTTTGTATGGATTCTTATGAAGTTTCGGAATCCAATATATATAAGGTAGTTCAAATTCATTTTAGCTCTGTGAAATATTAAAGTATTCAAAACTGACAGATGATTTTGAAGAATTTCTTCCTTAGAAAGAGAAGTATGAGTATAAGTAGGATTAAAACTTGTAGAATTAAATCCAAGTTCTTCTAGAATGCAATTTATATAATGAGCCTTACAAACGAAGACAATGTTGTTACCTGCTTTGTCGGCAGGAACCAGTACGTACTGATCATGTAATCTATCTAATTCTTTTTTCACTTCTGGTTTATTGAAGACAGAAGGATAGATGGTTTTCATTTTGCCCCTCAGTCTTTTAATACGTGACTTTAACATGGATCTGATACATTTAATCCATTCTGACAAGGTTTCAACGTCTTCTTTTTTCATATCTGACCCATTGTCTGGCATAATTTTCAACAGAATCCATAATATTTATGGAATTCCGACTTTGTAAATACAAGGTGTAGTCTTTAACTTGAAATATGGTGGAAGTTAAGACTGGACCCTTTTGTAATTAAGAATATTACTTATTTTAACCGTGTTAATTCCTTTATTGGCATTTTGAAGTTTAATGAAAAGACGGATTGGTTTAGCTGCATTTTCTTCCGTGAAACGTACTGGTTTAAAAAGCCTATGACATGCAATATCCATAATTACAGATCCGAGCCTATATTCAGGTGACGAGGAATCTAAAATTGGATGTTCTTTGGCTTTTTCAAGAAGATATGAATTTTTAATTTGTACCCATAGGAATTCCAATAGATTGTTTGAATATGTTCCATGGGTTCCAGTAAGGTACGAATTTTTAACAGATCTCATTTATTAATTTTTTGTTGGATTGCAAATCAGAGAAATTTTCATTATTTACTTATTGTTAATAAATCCCTACTTCTTTAATGCTACCTATTGACAGAAACAAAAATAAAGAAATCTATACATATTAAACAAGAGTCAATATCCTAGAAAATTGACACTTCCAAAATAAACAAAAAAAATCTTTTCAAATAATGGCTGAAAAAAGGTGGAGACAGGTACATTTTAAGTGAGTCGATAGGCGACTGCTAACAAATCATTTTTAGGCCTTGTGAACATAATAAAACATGGTAGTTTTATTTAAATGGTTGTTTTATTAATATGATAGCTCATTTACAAGTATTTTTCTTTAAAAAAAAACTCCTTTACAAAAGTAAAGCACAATATGATTTGTACTAGGAGGTCAAAAAAGAAATGTCACTATTCATTTTCTTTCAATTTATTTTCATTTGATTGCACAGCATTTGATTTTGTAAAGCTACTTTGGCCAAAGCTTGATCAGTGTGATGCAACGCCAGGAATTGCTTCTCAACGTGGTAATGTCAAAACGACGTCAATATGATATTTTAGGTGCAGTGTCTAAATATGTTTTTAAAGAATTACATGTAATTCCATTGAAGTATTATAACTACATTTCTATGCAATAATCGTTTTATGGTGATCATTTTAAAAAAAAAGCAACAGAAAAAACAATTTAAGGATAAAGAGAGGTGATACCGTAATCAAAGATAACCATAACCATGGGGGTATCTATTCTCTTAACAGATGTTGTCAACAAACATAATTATGTCTAAATATGATGTAAGAGAACGTTCCCGTTAAAAATCAAAGAGATGCGAGACTTTTTTATAGAATAAACTCTGTTGAAGATATTTTTATTTGTTACAACGGGACAAGACGAAAATTTACGTTATTCCGGAATATAGGAGTCTGTCAGTGTGAACATACCCTATAATAATACTACTTTTTGCTACAACTTTATTGGGGAGAACAAATCCTTTATTTTCATATAAAACACTACATGTTTATAATCAAGACTTAACTGTAAATGTAAGCTGAAAACGGATTAAGCGTATTATTTCCTTTTAGTAGCAATTTCTGACGTTACGTCTTTGCCATTGTTGCTTAGATCAGCAATATTGACCCTGAGTATCTCTTCTTTAATATAATAGGGTGCGTTATTAATTTCTTTTGTTAGGGAAGCTTACCCCTTTTCTCATCGAGTTCATCGAGTTAATGTTACCTCAATTTTTTTGAGAGAAAACAATATCAGTGTCATGATTCCAGTTATGTAAGTACATATATTTTGTTTGGAAAGATAATGAATAGGGCTAAGAGACCTTCTATACTTTTCCTCCCTTTTTTCTCGGCGAGTTACTAGTATTCGAAAGAAATATAACTATATAAATATAAAGCTGACGTTATCTATCACTGAAAACTTAAATCTTAAGGTAGTCCAATCCTCAGGTTTATAAAATCAGCAGTTAAGTAATCAAAAATACTCATAAAAGTATATTTGAATCCACAAAGTATTGTAAATTTATCCACAGTATTTCTTCAAAGTTGAAGATTAAAGTTAATCATATTATATAGGGAAAATTGTCAAATCTCCAATATTTTTTGCAGAAAAAGCAAATTGGAATATCAGCAATGCATTTTCTAATTGCAACTTGATCAACAAATATATTTTAGTTTAAAAAACGATAGGTATCCAGGCATCCAGAGATATTGTCATGATTTTTGTACTTATTTGGTATTTTTTGTCTTCCATTTCCGTCATGTGTTCTTGAATACATAATGTTAAAGGCGTTTGCTATCACTGCAAGACAACAAAAATCGCTTTTTATTTCATATCATGCTTATAAGCATTGGTATCAGGATGGATTTAAGAAAATTTTATTTCTCTAAAACTTGATTAATTTCTTTTCCTTTTATAGGGTACAAATGTCAACTTTTATAAGACCTTTTCTAACACTAGCAAAAACTTTGAATCTTATAAAGATGAATCAAATAAAAATTGTTGCATGAAAAAATTTCATTTCTAGCTTTATTTTGATGCATTTCAAATTAAATATTAATTTTTGGAGTTATCCTTCTTGGTTGAGGATCGGATATCCTTAATTCATATTAAAGTCCGTTGATGTTTGTACCTATTTTAATGCACTAATTTCATTTCAAAGAGACCATGCATTCAATAAAAAAAATAATGAAAATCTCTCTGATTTGTAATCCAACAGAAAACAAAAAAAATAATAAATAAAAAAAATGTTATAGGGATTAAAATCATTTTTTCTTTATCGTGTTAAATAAGATATGTATGGACTTCAAGGACCTATTGAACATTCTTTTTTTATTTACTGGGTATTGCACTGGATACATGTACATGTACATGTGTATAACAATTATATTCATACATTCACTGTACATGTACCTCAAATCTATTTTATATATATGACTTAATTTTTGCGTTGTTACGCATTTTTGATTGGATATATCGTTTAAACGTGTTGCTTACGTCAGAGTGACTTGTGTCAAAAGTGTATTAATCCGCTTGACATTACATCTAAAATGTATGCGATTTAAAAACGGGAGAAAGTTACAAGACAAATTGTTTTATTTTATACAATTAATGAATCAGATTAAATTAAAAGGAATGAATGATATATGATTAATAACTATCCAAGTTATATCCAGGTATAACTTGGGTTTGAGCAGTTTGCCTTTTTTATAAACCGCTTCATTCCTTAACTAGCTAAGAGACCTAGGAAAAACTTACAAAATTTTAAGAAATGTTAAATCAATATTGAGGTTAAAGAACTAGGTCCGTTTTATGCATAAAATGGCTGTATATCAATTCATTAACTAGCACCTTTTTATTCCGTATATTATAATAACGTGAACACTTGGCGCTTTCTTTTCCTATAATAAGATTTCTATTTGAGAATACAGATATTGGAAAACAGGCTTTGAGAAATTGCAAGCTCTTGAAAATTGTAGAAAACATGCGGATTTGACTAACTTTAGCAAAGAATTAAAATATGAACACAGTCCAAAATCCAAAAAATAAAACATGTTTTTTTTTATCTTCAGAAACAACTTTTGTGTTACGTATTTGTAAATTTTGGATCAGAGGATGTACTCTTTATGAAAAATTGAAAAAAAAGATACATCAAATTCAGGCCATTTTTAAAGGAATTCAAAGGATATGAGGAAAATTAATATTGCGAATTGTATGAAGTCAAATGCATTAACTTGATGAAAAATTACGTCATGATTAATAGATACGTGATCACAACTACTCTAAGTGCTAAAAACTGTATTTGAAACCTAAACTGGGCAGTTTTTATTTATCAGGAATTTTAAGGGCCAAATATGGCTCTAAGTGGCTCTTGCTCCTAAAGTGTAAAAGAGCCATGGCTGCCTTGCCGAGGAATTAATCGGCCGACTCAAGTATTTAAAAGGAAATCACTTGTTTTTATATATAGATACATGTACCTTTTCAATTTAAAAGCAAACTACATATATGTAATCATTTGTGGACCACTTATATATTTTTATAGTTGCAAGTTTGTTACATGTACATGACAATAATTTTACTTGTTCAATACTCTAATTCTAAACAAGATTGTTAGAAAATTTTTAAAATAAAACAAGCTAGCAGTTATCATGACTTTGGGTCATTAAAATAGTTTAACTGATTTTTCCCGAGATATAGTGTTGTATTATATATCTCTTACATTATTTATACATGTATTATAAAATGATAACAGAAAACGTGGGGTCAATGCACAGATAGAAAAAAAAAATGAAATCATAGACAAGAAACACACTATGTAAGACTCGAACTCACGATCATGATGTCTTCAATCCAGCAATCATAACACTATGCCACGAAGTCATAAGAATCGTATGGATAAATTTAAGACAGATTGTTGAATCTTGAAATAATTTTAGAAGAAAAACTAAATACATATTTTCAACATTTTCAATATGAAGACCACCTTTAACCAACATTATCTAAATGTAATGATGTACGTGTACAGTCATATCCAAATAAAATTATTCAGAAGTTGTTTTTCTGGTTAAGGGTGGTCTTTTGCTACAGTCTGTTATTCTTAAGGGGGGGTCCTCAGTATTTACTATATTATCCATATAAATTGAACGATTTTTATATCTATCATATGAGGGAGCTATTAACATTTGAATATTATTATGTGTGATTTGCTTTAAGGCATGTATAAACTAGCATTGTATGACAAAAATTTGGTTAAACTATGTATTTAAAAAATTACTACTGGGGTAGGCGAAAGTGACAATGAAATGCGCTATTGCTCTTTATCACAATGGATATTATAAATTATTAATCATTTTTTAATTAAAACATGACTATATTAACATGTACACATACTTTTTAATAACTATGATATTTTATTATCATGCAATAAATAAATTCATTAAATATGCAACTGACTTAATTTAATTCTAGCGTGGTAAAGCAAAAGGGTACATGACATTTTTCAATCTATTCAAGTAATGCGCGGATCTAGAGGGGGGTGTCAGGACCCCCCCCCCTGGAATGTGCAAGCTTAAGGTTATTAAATTTATATAGAAAACCAAGAAAAAAAGTTAACTTTGACCCCCATCGGAAAACGCAGACACCCTGGTAAACGCGAATTTGTATTACATTTTTATGATAATTAAAAGCTTTTAAGAATTAAAATTAATTAACTACCCCCCCCCCCCCCCCACGAAATGGGTTGATTTTTTTTTTTGGACAGGGGTGGACCCCCCCCCCTGGGAAAAATTTCTGGATCCGCGCCTGCAGTATTGTCGTTAACTTACATTTCATTCATCGCCGTCTGCATTTGTGCACATCCCAATTCATTCCTGTATTCTAAAATATATGCATAGATATCAGATAAAACAACAATTATGATATTACAACAGCAAAGCTGAAAAAATCTGATAGTTTTCTGGTATAGATTTTTTTTAAAAAAGCACACATACCAATGTATGCTCAAAATCTTGAATTTTTGAAATGCTGGATACAAGATATAGTACTAACCAATTTTGAGGAATGAAGAACATTTGTAAGTAATACTGTATAGTAAGATTTTTGCGATCGGCTTCGGTCAATCACAGTTGATTCCAAATGAGGCTTCCTGTGGATTAGGGGTTTGTTTTACCCAAAAGAAGAAAATACATACGACAAAGACCAAAATTTAATTCTGCTCATAACTTTCTAATTTACACTGATTTGAAACTTGTTTTAACATTTTTGAAAAGAATTAAACCAGAAATTTTAAGCTATCAATGTCAAACAGATTCATCATTTCTGAAAAACAATGTTACAATCAAATAACGTTCTTGTCTTCGTCGTAATTTCTTATGTAAAACGGGTGCCTGAATTTTAGAAATTCCTTTATTTTAAGCATTTTAAACATTGCTGGTTAGGAAGAAATGTCACTTGATTTTACATTTCAAATTTGTGCAATTTGTTTTCATTTTAAGGACATTAATCTCTTTCTTACACTTGACTATATTAATGAAAATTAAAGCAGAAAGATTGAAATCAATACCTATCCAAATTATATGGTATAAAGTGGATTGAAACGGTCCATGCATTGTTATAAACTAGCTCTTCCCGGTTTATAAAGCGTAAACTGCACCAACCCACTTTATACCGTATAGACTGGGTATCTATTAAATTCATTCATTCATTTATTTAATTAACCTCTCACATGGCATATACGTATTTCTACGCATCTGACCTGAAAAACAAGTATAGTGTGAAAAAACATTCATAGCTTTGTTAATACTGGACATATCAGAATAAATCTTGCACCGTTGAAAAGAGAAAATAAATACGGAAAAATCATACACGGAAATTATTTTAATTGGTCGTACCAGTTTTTTGCTACTTTGAGTAAAACTTTGCGCACTATTTGAGCGATTTTGCCCTTATCGAAATCAATGCGGGGGTAACACGTTATATGTAGAAATACTAAATTCTGGTGTTTATATCCCAACCCTACCCAATCCCCCCAAAATACTTTAAATTTGTTAATAAAAAATTGTACATGTTCATGATTTTAAATACAACAATATAATATTTTTAAATATATTTAACTAAGCAAAAAACTAGAATGAAACTCATTATTTAATAAATGAAAATCCCAGCATGATTATGATGTATTTCGTTGCCATTGCAACTGAAATGAATTTTTACAATCATTTTCAGAAACAACACAATACCTGCTTTCAGAATATATATACATTGTTATATATAAAATTATAAGAAATGCCCCCAAAAATGCATTGAAATCTTTATATCAATTTGTCTAAAAATGCTTAAAATCTTTGCCATGGAAGGGGTTAAACACTCCCTCTCTGAAAGCTTGCAATTGAAAGATATTATGATAAATTTAACCTTCATATATTCTTTGTACATTTACTTTCATTAACTTCATCTCATTCATCTTAACAGAAATCTGAACATACACGTACCGCTAAATCAAAATCATCTTATTTGTTTTTATGTTCCTGTAGATGTTACAGTACTTAATGTGTAAATAAAATAGCTTAAATTTCATTATAAATTATACAGAGGTCAAATTCAGGAGACATTAATGGAGAATCGAAAGTAAAAATTTGCTTTTTTCAATCATAAACATGATAAAGATTAAACATCAAAGTAAATGCACTCCTGTCAAATTAAATAAAATTAAGATATGATACACTGTATAAAAAGCAGACACTCAAAGAAATCCATATTTTCTTAATATGGAAGGCGTCCATTTTTTCGTTATCTATCAAAACAATAAATGTGAACGATCAGATCTCGCATACTAAAAATGTTCTCCTTTTAAATATATCTCCGTCTGAAACATAGCGTGCTGTACATCAATATCATTTTTACTATAATAGGATTTGCTTTCTACATATGATTTCTGTCTACTTGATATACCTTATAAAATCTGATTCCTTGAACAGCTACATATTTTCAAAATGGCCGGGCTATAATTCAAAACATACTAGTAATCGATGTCTTATAGGTGGTAAAAAAAATATCTGTATAACTTCTTATAAAGCGTCTGTAAATTATTTCTTATTTCAAAGTAAAAAGAAAACAAATTGAGATTAAAGTACATTTTAAGTTTATAACAGTTTTTTTTCTTTCTCTGACAAGAATTTTTCTAACACAAGAATGATAACTCTGATGGACTAAATGTTTGTAAACAAATAAGACGTAAAAGTCATAACACGCAATATTCATTTGTTTTAGATTGACGAAATTCTACCTAGTTTTCATTGGATTCGAACACAAGAAAAGTTTTAAATTATAAATTCTAAGCTAAAATGCTTTAAAGTTGTATATGTTTCCTTATGATTTATATTTAAATAAATAATTCTCACATAAACTGATCATTAGTTGATCATACAATTTTTATAAAATGTAATTGGGACATAAAATAATGAGATTTTTTTTAAATAAAATTATTAAAATTTAATAGATTATTAAAAATAAATTTTTTTAAAAATTACAAAACTTTTTTGATATAAAAAAAATCAATTTTAAAGCTCTGCAGTTTTCTCGAGAGCTAGAACAATAGGGACAGTAATTATCAGTGCATGTCAGCACTTGTCTAAGTTTTTTTGAAGCAAGGACAGTAAATGAGTCAGTAATTGTGTAAGCTTATCAGCACTGACTAAGATTGTCATCATTATTCTAAGTTTATCATTACTGGCAGTAAAAACATACAGTTACAAGTATCTTCTAAGTTTTGCAGTATAAAGACAGAAAGTTGGCATTTTTGTTTACATAAATAAAAATCCGTATCTTTTTTTCAATATTCCTTTTTCAAGCAGCTATTCACTATGTGTTGTTTACAATATTATAAAACTTAATATGTTTATGTCTATATATTACTGTAGATATACTTCTCAACAGTCGATTTTAATGATTAATGGAGTATGGCGCGTTATCTCTATCTCTCGACCGATCGAATAGAATACTAGGTAGATTTCCGTCAATCTAAATCAAATGAATCTTGCATGTTATGACTTTTACGTCTTATTTGTTTACAAAAAAGTCCATCAGAGTTATCATTCTTGTGTTAGAGGAACTCTTGCAACAGGGGACTTTGGTTTTTATTGTCTCATTCGAAGGATCGGTCTCTACGTTCATGGTTAAAACTCTGAAATATGAAGGAAATATATACAAGTAATTCATTTTAAGCGTGCAAATGCTTTTCATAAAGTTGGTGTAGCTGACTTAACATGTGTTTTCATCTAATGTTGAATCATGGGGGTTATTTTTTTTATTTTTTAGAGAGATTCATGAATTCATGTCCAACTTGAAGTGTAATTTCCATAGATATTACTACTCAAAAATCACAATTCCATGAAATTAAATCTACACGAAACTTCATTTTTTTTCCTCAAACCACGACATTTTTACCCCATTAAAATATGTGATTTTGTAGAAATTATATGATACACAAAATAGAATTTATGTTGAAATCACAGGTTTTCGGGCCCAGTACTGACATATGTATTTCCAGATAAGTATCTCATGTCTTTAAAGATCTTCCATATTTTAAAATACTTTTAATATACTATTAGAGAATAATGTAAGATTGAAAAAAAAGTATTCGTCTGCTATCTTGTTTTATTTTCCCTGAATTTTTGCTACATTCTGCTCAATTTGAAAGGACTATTTTGTTTATAGAAGTACATGTATTTATTTATATATATGATATCTTTTACAAAGGTAAATGTATACGTCAATATTTTATCTTTTTACAAAGATTAATTTTAACTTCAATATTGTTTTTAGCCCGGCTTTCTAAAAGAAATACCTGACTATAGGCGCCATCACCGCCTTTCTTATAGTTAATAACTCCACAGAAAAAAGTAAACAAAAAACCAGGCAACACCAATGCAGACCTATCCTTCGATCAAAAAAGTAGCCATCGTGAAAAATGATACTTAAACACATTTTTATGCGCCCGTATCGAAAGATCCGAGGCGTATATTGTTTTTGTCCTGTCTGTCTGTTTGTCTGTTTGTCTGCAAACTTTAACCTTCGCCATAACTTTTGAACGATGAATGGCTGAGACTTCATATTTGGTATGCATACTCCACTAATTAAGCTCTTTCAAATGAAACCAACGAAGGTTAATGACATTGTGACCTTGACTGTGACCAATGCGCTAAAATTAGTTTTTTCTGCAAACTTTAACCTTCACTATAAATTTTGGACCATAAAAGATAGAGACTTCATATTTGGTATGCATACACCACTGATTAAACTCTTGACTGTGACTTATACGCTAAACATAGTTTTTTTGTCGGCAAACTTTAACCTTCGACATAACTTTTGAACGAAGTAAGATAGAGACTTCATATTTGGCATATATACTCCACTAATTAAGCCCTTTCACATTACACCAAGGTGAATGACCTTGTGACCTTGACTGTATCCTATGTGCTAAAAATAGCTTTTTTTGAACCTTCAAAATAACTTTTGAACCAAGAGAGATAGAGACTTCATATTTTATATGCATAAGTCAATAATTAAGTTCTTTCAAATGACATCAAGATCAATAACGTTGGACCTTGACTGTGACTTATATGCTAAAAATATGATTTTTTTATCTTTGTTGCAGCCGAGCGCATAGTGTTTCACAAACACATCTTGTCTTTTTTTTTTTACTTTCAGTCTTTGGAAATAATTGATATCGTTGTTTGAGAATTAAATTGAAAGATTAATAAGGTGCATGCATTTATCTTATTAGGGTATAATCGCGATACGACTATCATTTTGTACACATACGCTGCTGAGTGCATATGTACGGAAACCTTTTTCAAACACACATGCTTTTCGA